CCCCCCCCTTCCCTTCCCCGGCCCCCCCCCCCCCAAATCCCCCCCCCCCCACACACACACACCTCTCGTCCATCCAGCCAGTCAGCAGGCGGTATTGTAAATTTTATCTTCTCTTGCAGAAATCATTTCGTCTTCGTTGCAGCAGATGAAATTTCTTGTAACACCTCCTCAGGTAAAATAAATAAATATAAATGAATACCAAATCACCCTCACTTTCTCGATGCACCCACGAGGGAGCGAGCATATACCCCCTTTTTTATGCACCCTGACAGTGAGTGCTTCTATTGCCCGGCTGTCTCCTTATTTCTGCCCCCCGTTTGATTAGTAGATGTTACGTTTTTTCTTACTACGTTTCTCTTGAATGCTCTTTTTTGGACGAGTGGAGTAGTTTTGGAGTACTGCATGAGGATAGCTGGAAGGCATCGCATTCATAGTTCTCATCTTCTGTTTCTCTCTCCCATGGCACTGCTTGGAAGAGGCATGTGTTCCTTGAAGAGTGAAATGAACACGCTTGTCACGAGCTTGGAATCTGTGATTTTCCTTTTTTTTTCTGTCTCAATCTTCCTTGTGTTCCATGGTTCTTTTGAGTTCTCCACCATCGCCCTCCGTTTCCATTAGATCTGTGTGTGTGTGTGTGTGTGTGTGTGTGTATGTGTGTGCGTGAGAGGGCCTTTTTTTGGTTGGTTTGTTTTACAGGCGTGTGGTGCTGTTGTCATTGTCGTATCAAGGTTGCTCATGTAGTGTATGGTGTCTTGCACATTGGCTGTAGGTGGTTAGATCACGGGAATGACACAAGTGTGATTGTTACTAGTTTGAGTCGTGATATACCGAAAGGAAAATGGACCTGTCCATCCATGCATTGATTTTGTGACAGCCCTTTTTTTCCTTCCTTTTTTCCCCCACACGACCAGAGAAAATGAATATGCTAACAAGGCTGTAATTTAGCAGCAGGCACTTTCTTGAAGACATCAGCTGTTTTCTATAAAACACAATTGGAATGTGTAATTTGGAGTCTGAAAAACTTGCAAATTATGGTCTAATTGTGCCAGTTCAATAATTGCTGATAGCCCCAAAGGCCGTGCGCATCCTGTTCGCAAACCGACGTAATCAGTAAGTAAGAAAAGAGGAGAAGGTATGCATACAGAGCCCCTAAAGCACAGCCCGGCATTGTTTAAAGAAATCATAGAAATGAGCTGTCCGTTCGGTCTCCTGGTGGGAAAAGTCAATACATTTAGAGGAATGGCGCTGCTGGAGCACACATTTTCCAAAATAATGAGCATCTAGTCAATAATGCAGATATATCCCAGCCATCCGAGATTTATTAACCTGTATCTCAGGGCCCAGATCTAATTTAGCTGTATGTTAGAGTCACTGGTGTTCATTAACGAACATAGAGCTTACCAGTCTCATAAATCAAGTTTTTTTTTTTACTTCAACCTGTCTCGATGGGCGGCAGGAGGAGCCTAGTATAACGGATCATAGAAAGGAACAAACCGATAGTCACAAGGATGAGTTTAAGCTTAAATTTGTAGTGTGTTTTCACATTTTCAGCGTCCTTCAAACGGCAATTAAAATCCCCAGTTCTTGCATTTCGGGTGACTCATCCAATCAGCGTTTTTTTCCCTTACTTAATACTTTAGGAATAATTCACCAGGTGCTATATCCTGAGGGTCACCTTTTCAATCTTAGCTCCAGAAGAGCAGAGGCAGCCCTGGTTTGATCACTGCACTGCATACTCATTAAAACTAACCCCTGTAAACACCGATAACACAAGTCAAACAAAATACTTTGTTGCCGCGCATTGAAATATGAAGACAGAGCGACTGTGTAGTGAATAACAATGTCTATACTAATTTGCAGTGGATTAACTTCTTAATCGCCAGGAGTGGAAGAATATGTAAATTGCCTAATTTCTCTGCTCTCTGATTGGCTCTTTATCTGGTCCAGAAACACCATGCAAGCATTACAAGGCTTTCAGGAGCCGATATTACATGTTGTTTTCAAACACAGTGATCTTAAGCCCTGCTCGAACTTTGAGGGAGAACAGGATGAGATCTCAGGATAAAAGACACTGAAAAAGTATAAAATAAGCTCACATTTACACTAAACATCCTGCAGCATTTTCATCAAGTCAGCCCCGGACGAGAATAATGAACAGATGTTTTGTTTTTGTTTTTTTTGGTGCAAGTACTGTAAAACATTGATCGCTGGTCTGTTTGGGTTTTTTTTTTCCTATAATGCATTTTTTTGCCTTTTTGATCAATATGCCTAAATTAAACTACTAAAAAATTGAAGGGTTGTTTGTGCAAGTGTATTGAACTAGAAAAAGCAAGCAAATTCCTCTTGGACCCGATTTGCAAAGTTTGTACGTACAAACAGATATTGCCGTAAGCGCTGGCATCCCATAAACGCACAATTAGAGTGAACAGAGCATCTAGTGAGGTCTTGCACAAGTGGCCCTTCAACTTTCAAACAGTGATGTCTTCCTCTTTGACCTGTGCAGCATGACTGCAAGAGCCATGTGATCTTCTCCTCTCTGACTTCATTTGATTGTCATTTTCCAAACACTCTGAAATCATCACCATATGTAGTTGCTTCAGTCCGTGGTGTCCTATATGACTGTATGACATTTGTGTTTTCATAGAAAATAAGCGATTTTCAACTTGGCAGCATGATCTGACCATCTCTCCGTGTTTCCACAGTTACGGACGAGTTTATGCTGCCGACCCCTACAACCACGCACTTGCTCCAGCAGCCGCATACAGCGTTGGTGCCATGGTGAGCGTGAATTTTCATCTCTACCTGTCTCGATTCCTCTTTCTTTTTTCCTCTTTCCTCATGACCCCTTTATTTATCCCTTCCCTGCTCTTTTCTCAGTGCACGCTTGTCATGAAAGCTCATTCTTTTCCCTTTTCTTCCCACCTCTTCCTCCTGCATGGATTTTAGCTCTGCTGACATCTCCTCACTTAAACGTAATTGAATTTGTCTCTTGTGCTAACGGCAGCTGAAATGCCACATTAATCCTCCCAGTAAACGTGATAAATGTCTTAATTTCTTGGCAGTGTAGTGCATGTTAGTTATTATATTTCTAATTTTGTGAATATCACCAAGCCGAGCGCTCCCCTTAATGGAATAATTAGTCATTTTGATAATTAAATCCATCACCTAAGTGGTGCTGTAGCAACAGCTAAAAGAGGGAGGGAGCAGAGGAGAGACGATGTGATGAAAGAGTGCGAGGAAGACCCGACAAGAGTCTCCAGGTGCAAACTGCGATGTGCGACTTGTTTGTACCCGGACTGTTTTGATCGCAAAACGTCCACGTTGCATATAGAACGCACACTGCAAAGATCAATTTCTTAAACTGTACATTTTGTCTAGTTTTCCAGTAAAAATGCCTAAAACCTTTATGTAAGTTAATAAAACTTTGTTTTACTTTTTTATTATAAAAGTTTTACGTTTCTTTTTTTAAGAATAAACCTCTTTAAAGCCTCGTGCACACCGGAACGATTATCGCGCGCACTTATTGCCAGCGTTTTTCGAGACGTTTTTCAATGTGTCTTTATGTTCATATCCAAGCGATTTTCACTGGCGATGAGCCGAGTGAACGTGCAAATTCACTCCCTGACATTAGATACCCCGGTACACATAGAATCCATCCTATTTGATCTGTAATTCCTCTCCATAACAACTCCCTCTCGAGATTTTTGTAGTCGCTGTCGCGTTTGTCATAAAGCTCTTTGTGTTCAGACACCAATGAGACCAGCAGCTCTACATTCATCTTGCATTGATGCATCTTCTTCGTCTACTTACTTCCTCTATGTCGTTAGGTATCAATGTGTGCTCGGCAAGACCGTTTTGTGCACCAAGTCGTGTTTTACTGTAACTTCAGCAGCTCCAGGCACGTGAACAAAAGCACCAATCTCATTGGTCGGCCAGTTTTTAACGCAGCGCGTCAAACCAGAGCCAGAGGCGTTTTTTAAAAAATGATGCTTTTACACCTGGCGTTTTGCACGTCGGTGTGCACACTCACATTGGTGCCCTTTGTTTAGTCATGAGGCGTTAAACGTCGGCGATAATCGTGCGCGATAATTGTCCCGATGTGCTCAAGCCTTTAGAGTGTAGTCGCATTTGCCATTGCTCTGCGTAATTTTGCTGGCGAAATACAGTTGTTTCAGTAAGAATCTGCGATTCTTCATTCGCTATGCAGACTAACAAAGCTGCTTTGTTTAAAAGAGACTTCTGTGTGAGCTACGCTATTAGCAACAGACAATTGAGGGTTTTTTAATGCACCCTAATTTTTTTTTACTTCAAGATGCTGGAAAATAAGACAAAACTACGTTAAGAAAATGCTTTTTGCAGCATATGAAACTGCATTCGTTGCTCTATTTTTATTTGCTCTGTTAACTCATGTAATTCTTGCATCCCGTTTACGTTTTTAAGTACCTAAATGCATCTCTTCTGGCATGAGGTGTGTTGGTGTGCTTGCTGCATGATGGAACGTGATTGGTTTCGTCCGGGGGTATGTACGGCAAATAGCCTGAATGCTAGCAGAGGTCTCCTCTGAACTGTGTCAATTAAACGTGTCCAAACCCGTGGCTTCTCTTCCAGAATGCTTTCGCTCCCTTGACTGATGCCAAGACCAGAAGCCACGCCGACGATGTGGGTCTCGTTCTTTCTTCTTTACAGGCTAGTATATACCGAGGTGGATACAGTCGTTTCGCGCCATACTAAAAAAAAAAAAAAAACCTATTGAGAATCTTCCTGTGGGGGTAACGGAGGAGTAATTCAGAGGCCTGGGTATTGCAATACATGCAGTAGTGCATCATTTTAGCATCTCTTAAGAGAGAGAAGACAAAAACGGATATTTTTCATCTTATACCTCAGATATTTTGTGCTGTGTATTTTAATATTGTGGGTTTTTCATTTCTAAAGATTACATAGATTGTTGGCTGTAGAGGTTTCTGTGGTGATCTAGAGAGCTGCTAGATCCAGGCACGTGAACAAAAGCACCAATCTCATTGGTCGGCCAGTTTTTAACGCAGCGCGTCAAACCAGAGCCAGAGGCGTTTTTTAAAAAATGATGCTTTTACACCTGGCGTTTTGCACGTCGGTGTGCACACTCACATTGGTGCCCTTTGTTTAGTCATGAGGCGTTAAACGTCGGCGATAATCGTGCGCGATAATTGTCCCGATGTGCTCAAGCCTTTAGAGTGTAGTCGCATTTGCCATTGCTCTGCGTAATTTTGCTGGCGAAATACAGTTGTTTCAGTAAGAATCTGCGATTCTTCATTCGCTATGCAGACTAACAAAGCTGCTTTGTTTAAAAGAGACTTCTGTGTGAGCTACGCTATTAGCAACAGACAATTGAGGGTTTTTTAATGCACCCTAATTTTTTTTTACTTCAAGATGCTGGAAAATAAGACAAAACTACGTTAAGAAAATGCTTTTTGCAGCATATGAAACTGCATTCGTTGCTCTATTTTTATTTGCTCTGTTAACTCATGTAATTCTTGCATCCCGTTTACGTTTTTAAGTACCTAAATGCATCTCTTCTGGCATGAGGTGTGTTGGTGTGCTTGCTGCATGATGGAACGTGATTGGTTTCGTCCGGGGGTATGTACGGCAAATAGCCTGAATGCTAGCAGAGGTCTCCTCTGAACTGTGTCAATTAAACGTGTCCAAACCCGTGGCTTCTCTTCCAGAATGCTTTCGCTCCCTTGACTGATGCCAAGACCAGAAGCCACGCCGACGATGTGGGTCTCGTTCTTTCTTCTTTACAGGCTAGTATATACCGAGGTGGATACAGTCGTTTCGCGCCATACTAAAAAAAAAAAAAAAACCTATTGAGAATCTTCCTGTGGGGGTAACGGAGGAGTAATTCAGAGGCCTGGGTATTGCAATACATGCAGTAGTGCATCATTTTAGCATCTCTTAAGAGAGAGAAGACAAAAACGGATATTTTTCATCTTATACCTCAGATATTTTGTGCTGTGTATTTTAATATTGTGGGTTTTTCATTTCTAAAGATTACATAGATTGTTGGCTGTAGAGGTTTCTGTGGTGATCTAGAGAGCTGCTAGATATAAAAAAGATGAAAAAAAAAGATACAAATTGTTAGGGCTTTATCATGTAAATGAGTTATGTATGATAAATATTCAAGTCACTTCGGGGTTATCATATTTTGTAAGAGTGTAAGTGACTAGAGTCGTCCAGTGGTTTATGCTTCCGTTTCACATCGCCTTTCGTCTTTCTTTTGGTTTCTTTTGTTTCTTGGTTCTGTGCCGTAGAGGAAGAGTGCGCAGGGGGTTGTGGGTAGGAGTAGATATGGGCGTGGTGGGCGAAAGACCGGGGGCTGTCCGCCGAGTGCAGCGAAGACACAGAGCCGGTCAAAGAGACCACTGAGGTATCGATTATTTAAGCTGTCTTATATCAGTCATTACTCAAAGCCAAAGGTTATGTTCCTGGGGTGTTCAATGTGTATATTCAGACTATACATAGCAGCTCATAGAAACTCCCCAAAAATTCACCATGACAGTATTTTACTGTTTAACTATTATCTAGTCCTTAAGTCAGACCCTCGCTAGTTTAGGCCTACCACGAAATGTTCTTTTTATATTGCAGTACTTCCAGTACGTCGATTGATATAAATGCTGACTTTTATAATACGGGAGAGACGAAACACAAAAAAGAAAAAAAAAAAGAAAAACCAGACGGCGACGGTAGCGCCGGTTATATTTTTTGTTTTTCTTTTTTTCTTTGTTTTGTTTTAGTTTGTTTTTTTTCTCTCAGAAGTTAAAAAACTGATTATTTGTACAAGACGAGAGTGGGAAAAAATAAACTAACAGTGTATTCAATTTGATCTGTGCAGTGAAAATGTTCTCTTATACGAAAAACACAACTGTATAATGTTTTAGATTTAGTGTGGTAGACCAACTGTTAGAGAAAGATGTCTCATTTTTTATGGAATCATACACAGATTTATATCAACACTTTACAAGTAATGCAATCATTATGTAGATATAATCATAGTATTTTTGTCAACTGTACAATTTTGCACACACACAACCTGCAATTTTTTCATCACTACTTCTTCTTCTTCTTCTCACTTGTGGGACGTTCTGTTGTCTGTTTTCTTTTGGTTCTCTGCTTCTTTCGAGTGTTTCGTTTTGATATAATTTTTAATGTGACATCCTTTGTACTATTATTTTCTAGAACACAGCCTTTACACTTTGAAACTGTTTGATTATCGAGAAACTGAGAAATATATGACTTGTGAAAAAGATATCTATATGTAAATAGGAATAATGATAACTATGTCATTTACAAGTGCTACACAAACAAGCTGTTAAGGCGTTCTTGAAGAGTCGCAGCTTGGCTGTGCATACGCGAAGACTTCCCTTCATGTTGTTTACAAGTATACCTAATTAGAGGTGTTTGTCACATATCTCATTTTTCTTTATTTTGTATTTATAAAAGTTTCAATTGCATAAAATACAAACAAAAGAGCAGCTCCAATTTATCCGGCTGCAAATATCCTCTTGTGTACTGTGTGCGTCACATCACACAACTTGGCAAAAATATCTTACCCACTGCTGTGATTCTGCTCTTTCTGCTTTAAGTACGTGTTGTGGACAGGCTTTCTCCTTGTCATTGTATGTGCATGCACTATGATCTGCATAACAATAACCATCAATAAAGTTTCTCAAGATAACGGGAATTTGTCTGGGAATTTCTTTGCACCATGCCGGCTGCCGAATCTTATATTCAGATGATGGAGTGAGTTTGTCCTCTGATCTGATTTCATTGACTAAAATTGCATTGAAAAGCTCAAGGCGAAGAGGAAATTATCATCTCCGAGGAGGTTAAGTGGAATTGATGCTGCCGGGTCTGAGGTGGTCATCTGTATGCCTTTAAGAAGACTCTGTGTTTAGGATGAAGGAGCGAGATCGGATTCCTGAGGTCTGATTAGGTTATCCCACACGCTTTCAGCATTATGAAACATCTCCGGTCTGCAGATATTTCCAAAAAGGAAGCCGCAATATGGGCTTATTCTAGGGTGCAGTTGAGGTTTGAACCAAGAAAGTGGAGCACAATCACAAATGTGACCCTGGACCACAAAACCAGTCATAAGGGTCAATTTTTCAAAATTGAGATTTATACATCATCTGAATACAAAGCTGAATAAAACAGCTTTCCATTGATGTATGGTTTGTTAGGATAGGACAATATTTGGCAGAGATACAACTATTTGAAAATCTGGAATCTGAAGGTGCAAAAACATCTAAATATTGAGAAAATCGCCTTTAAAGTTGTCCAAATGAAGTTCTTCGCAATGCATATTACTAATCAAAAATTAAGTTTTAATATATTTACAGTGGGAAATGTATAAAATATCTTAATGGAACATGATCTTTACTTAATATCCTAATGATTTTTGGCATAAAAAAAGTTTTGTGGTCCAGGGTCACAAAGAGCTGTAGATTTTTTCATTTGCATAACGGTCCTACAAATGACAATATTCCGAATGTGCTGTGAAGAACATTACTTTGGAGAATGATGGGTCCCTCTCGTCATCAAACATGAACCTGTCTGCCCCGCGTAACTGTAAGTAGCAGATATTCATTATCTTTCGGCTCACTTCGCTGAGGTATGACGGAATTTCATAAATTATGTATAGTACAGATAGTTCTAATTGAAGAAAAGAAGAATTACCCCACATTCTCGATTTGATCAGTGTAATTGGAAAAACTTAGCCAGGGGTTCCTTGGAAAGATAAGCAATATAAATGTTTAAATGTGATGAAGGAGTCACATTATGCTAGGTAATTACAACACCTCTTCACAGAAATGGGTGATCAATAATTAACGTATCTTGGGTCACAAGTCGGGGACATAATTTAAAATTGGTTATTAATTCTATTATGAAAAATGTACATTCTCTTCAGATTATGTTGCCGAGTCCACAGGGAGCGGTAAAGGAGGTCTGGTGGTTTTAATACAGTCTCTCTCTCTCTCTCTCACTCGCCGCTCTGTCCCTCTTCCAACCGGCTCGATGAGAGCTGTCAGTAATGTGATGATTTATGTTTCTGAATTAAATTACATATTAAATGAAGTAATTTGGGTCTCTTTGCTCAGTTTGATTGGCTGAATGAGATTGGATTGATTATCATGCAGATTGGAGGGAGTGGACTCTGGCTTTCTCATGATCGGTCAGCCGTTGCTCTCTCATAACACTGCAGACTTGCAAATCACAGCTGTCACTAGGATTCAATGTGGGATTGTTCAAAAATTCAGATGTATTGAAAAGATGTAAAGTTCACCATATATGGATTCTCCACTAATAAAAGCTGGTTTAAGCTGGTCATCCACCCTATTCTTAAGGCCTGTTTACACCAAGAAAGACAACAATAATAATAGCATTTTCACCAAGGCACGATATCGTCTGTTTATTATAAGCATGTGCTGCAGTTATGTCTTCTAACACTTTAAATGCTCATTCTCATTAAAGCAGGATGGATTCTGATTGGCTGTCAATGTTTTTATATTTCATCAGATGGAAAGAATCTTTTTGGAAGTGATTCCAACAATATCGTTAGAATAGTTGTGGTGTGGACTTTTACATTCAGAATGATTTTTAAACTATATCATTATTGTTATCATCTTTGTTTTGGAAGAGGTCTTCCAGCCTTTTCAAGCTGCTCTATAACCAGTCAACAAT